TTGGAGAGAACCCTCAACATTCCAATACTATTGCCAGGATAGTGAACAAACACCACTTCTCTAGATTGAAGAATCTTCTTGCTGATAAAATGGTCAAAGAATCTGTGGTTTATGGTGGTTCAATGGACGAAGAAAACTTGTAATTAATCGACACTCTTCCCTTTCTCTGCTAGATTCTTCCATAATAATTGTATTTCCCTTTAAGTTGTGTTTAGTAAGAGATATCTCTTACAAATTGAAATATAAACACTTATATATGGAGGACATGTTTAAGAATAATTTAGAACTAGAAATGTTTTCCCAAGACACTCTCTAATCTATTTTTGAACATATTTTATTGTAATTTTAATAAAGTTAATTAATAATAGAAAAATATCAAAGATTCTTTCTAACACTCCTACAATTAGAATAATTTGTTTAGTTTTACGTGGATTCATCGCATTAACTGCAATACAGTACCAATTCCTTACAAAAATCATGTAACTGCATATATTTACTTAGCCCAATAAAACTGTGTGTGAATTGGTGCAGATTTATTGAGCCAACAATCTTGGTGGATCCCCCACTGGAAGCAGAAATTATGTCTGAGGAGATTTTTGGCCCATTGCTTCCAATTATTACTGTAACCTTCATGCATATATATACCATTACACATGCTTAAATCTATATATTTATTTTTCAACATGGCCAATGTGATTTTTTTTTCTGGTTGCAGGTAGAGAAGATTGAGGACACTATTAAATTCATCAATAGTAGGCCTAAGCCTCTTGCCCTATATGTTTTCACCAAAAACAAAACCCTAGAGAAAAGAATGGTTTCTGAAACATCATCTGGCAGTGTCACTTTCAATGATGCAATTCTACAAGTACAACTACACTATCTACCATCAATCCATTGCTTATCTTTTTGTATTAGTTCAATTAAATTTCTTATTTTTGTTTGGTTGTGCAGTATGCAGCTGATAGTCTCCCATTTGGAGGAGTGGGAGAGAGTGGGTTTGGCAGGTACCATGGGAAGTTCTCCTTTGACACATTTAGCCACCAGAAGGCAATACTAAGAAGAAGTTTCCTCACTGATTTTTGGTTTAGATATCCTCCATGGACACTAAATAAGTTGCGGCTACTTGAAGCCTCTTACAATTATGATTATCTGGGGTTTCTCCTTATCTTGCTGGGCTTAAAGAGATCATCAAAACGCTTACTAGCAAATCATGATTAGCTATATATATCTAGCATGTTACTTTGTAATAATAAGAAACAAAATGCATTCTCACTTCTTTCTTATAAAACCCCCCCGAAAAGAGTAATCTTTTATTTGTTTATTTTTAATAATATCCAATAAAAAATGTTATGGATAACAAGATTTGTGTATTAAATTCTTATGCGGCTTGGTTTATCCCTTATGGTGTCTTGGTTCAGAGATCTGGTTTTGTAACGTGGTTTGTCTCAGAGTAAGAGTATCTATCTGATGGTGTCTCTCTGGTACTGAACTCCATTTAGTTTATGAAATGAAACGAAATAATAAACATTCTTATCATTTTGAAATATTTCTTCCTTTTAAATTCTAATTTATTTAAATTATTCATTATTTTAGAAAGCATAAAAAAAAAAAACATAAATTTTCTGTTTCAAATTGATCAATATATATTTCACCACTTTTTACTATATGAATAAAAAGTGATGAATTGAGATGGGAATGAAGTATGTTAAAAAAAAAATAAAAGTGAGAATTATTTTAATAAATGAATTATGCTTATTTAAAGCATCTACACCCACGTACTCCTGATCAATCTCACCAACCTTATTAATTATTCAACTCCCAAAAAATGCCCTATCATTGTGTGACTATTCAAACTGAAGGTTTGCAACCAGAAAACTAGTGGTGGGAGGATTGTGATCGCAAATGGTAGTTGAAAAATAAACATTGCAGGTAAAAAATATTTTCTTTATATAAATGTCTTTTTAACTATACAATTGAATCAACTTGAAGTGAGTGTCCTTAACTGAACCAGCTTTCTTGTGACTTAAGAGTATAATTGTGACTTAAAGGAATTTAAATTCTAAAATACACATGGTATTTGTATCTAACCCTCCCTGCAATTAAATGTCATAACCATCGAGTTTATCAGATTTAATATATAGTAATATCTAAATATAGCTGAAACATAAGACATATATAAATATCAACTCATCCTGAAATATTCAAAAAATTATTCTAAAATATCTATTAATAAATAGACATAAATCAATACATTCTATTTTCTCATTTTCATTAACATACTTTTCACACGTATTTTACCATTTTATCTATACCTATTTGCCTCGTTAGAGATTATGATAGATTTATTAAGAATGAAATAAGAGAATAAAAATAAAAATAAAAATCAAATTATTTGAACAGGAAAAAGAAAGTAAAAAAAGTGCTAAAGAAAAATAAATATTTTTATTTTTAAATAAATAAATTTATTATTTTAATATTTTTATTTAATTATATATTATTGTTATAATTAAAAATAATAATATTTTAAAAAAATTTACGGCATATTCGATTATAAATATTTTATTACCATTTTAAACAGAAAACCTAAAGAAGTAGATATTTTACCAAGAGCGTTATGAGTGTTTTAAGACTCACTTTCTCCCCAAAATCACCCTTTCATTATTTATTTTCAAGTATAGAAATCAACAAAAATAAAATTGAAAATAATTAAAATCAATTTTTTTATATAGTTGTTAATTATAAGGTGACAATGTATACTTATATTCCATCATTTTCAAGAGTAAAACACCTCCTCTAAAATTCTTGCATTGGAGATGTTTCAGGAGTCCGAATTCCTCGATTCCTTCGCCTCCTCCTCCTCTACGCAGCCCCTCAATTTTCATTATTTATCCGCTTTTAAAGGGGATTTTAGGCTGGAATTAAGGTAAAAAATATTTAAAAATGATTTTTTTAAAGAAAGAATATAAAATATCAATAAAAAGAATTATTATTTTTTCTTTAATATTTTTTATTTTTTTAAGATTAAATTTGTTATTTATTTTTTAATATTTTATTTAATTATCTAAAGAAATTGGGTGTCAAAAAATAAATCGTAATTAGGAAAATTATAACCCTAGACGATAAAGTCAACAAAATAAGGATTAAACATACTGAAAATCGTTGAAGAAACAATACGATATTTTGTGGATCTTAAATTAGGCATGGCAACGGAGCGAGGTGGGGGCGGGTTTTGCCTCCCCATCCCCGCCTTCGACTTTTTTAATCATTTTCGTCTCCTTCTCCGCCTCCGATCCTCGTCGGGGTTAGAAATTAAGTCCCTATCCCCGTCCCCGATCTATATTATTTTTAAAAAGATAATTACATTTATAATAAATTAATTTTATTATCTATTTTTTATATATAAATAAATATTTTTAATTTATAATTATTATTAATTAAATATACATTTTAATTTATTATATTTATATTAAAATATGTATGTAAAAAAATATTTAATCATTTTTTATTTATAACATTATTGTTATTATAATAATACTCGTATTCAAATATTTGAATACTTATAACATTATTATTATAATACTATATTCAAATATTTGATTATATATATAAGTTAATTCATTTTTAAATTGTCATTTAAAAATATGAAATATATAGTTTATAAGAAAATATTTAATAAGTTAATTATTATTCAATTAGTTCAAAGTAATAAAAGTTTAAATTATCAATTCCTTTAATCTTTTAAAATATAATTATTTTATTAAGATAAAATTTGATATATAATAAATAAGAATAATAAGATAAAAAAATGACATAATAAAACCTAATAAATATAAATTATAAATAAAATAATATTAGTTATTACTAAGATTTATGTAAAATATTTAGAAAAAGATATTTGTATTCATCAAATTGATTGAAAAGATTGAAAAAAAAAAAACAAATTGATGAGAGAGATTAAGGAAATATGAAAAACTGAAAGGTAAAAGAGAGAATAACATAATAAATTAATTGATATGAAAGATTAAAAAAGACAAAAAAATTAAAAAATAGGTAGAAGAAAAATAAAAATTGGTAAAATATAAAAAAATAACCTTATATGTAATAGAAAAAGAAAAAAAATATTTTTAAAATATTAATATTTTAAAATTTAAATTTAAATATAAAATCGGGATGGGGATTGCATTACCCATCCCGCCCGCCCCAACTTTTTAAAGTGTGAAAAACTCGAACCTACCCCCGGTCAACTCGGATTTTTCCCGTTAAACTCGGGACGAGGACGAGTCGATCCCCACGAAAACGGGTTTAATTGTCATCACTACCTTAAACAAAACAAAATAGCAGTGAATACTTTAGGTTTCTATTTTTAGGTAAGACTTGAGAAAATGTTAACATTTGCTATTCAGAAGGAAGTTTCCGAATAAGAACAATAATATGGTTGAGAACAGGGATGGAAAACAGGATCACAGAGACCGGCGGATCCGGAATTTTCGATACTTCTCTAAATTATCAATTCCGTAAAATATACTGAAATAATATTGTAAATTACAAAGTATTATGATGGTGGTTTATTTTGCATTCCAGTTGTAATTGTTGTCTTTAGCTCAAAATGCTATATCTGTGTAATTAATTTCTTGTTATATTTTTCTTTCAAATTTTCTGGTGGTGACATGATAGTTAACAAAAGTTGCCATTTATGTTAAATCCATTTGAAGTTTTATAGACATGGAAAATAAGCATTCAAATTTAGGAAGCTAAGATTGATGGAAAGAGCCTATTATACAACAAGTTCTGAAAATCAAGACACAATATCCTTATGAGTAATCACTGGTCAAACTCAAATCCTAAACTAAAATGGAAATGCTGAAATTAAGTATTACCTACTACCACATGGATCTAATCAACATGCTATTCCACTCATTGAAACAAAAAATAATGATCGTAAGACCCGGCACATATTGAAGCCTTCGTTCATAAAATTGACTACACAATCCGTAAAGATCCTATGCTTGCTGTAAAGATTGGGAAGTTCTCTGCCAAAGGGACCGCCCTAAAATGGAACTTCCATGCGTTGAAAGATATGCAGCATTTAATCTGCCAAAAGATCCGTCAGAAACACAGAATGAGTCAATTTATACAATTTTTTCTTTTGGTGAAAAAGCCAATATACACTAGTTTTAAGGTGTTTATAACTTTTAAATTGAGAAGTAGAGAAAGGGCAAGAAGCTTACTTATCCACATCAGGCAATGCAAGGGGATCATAGGACTCCTCAACAGGCATAGACACTGACATGTCTTGACCACCTTCAACCTGAACAGTAAGTAAACCAGTATATATGAGAAACCACCAAAATATTCTCTTCAATAAAGATGTGTTCGTAAACTGACCTGTTGAGGGTATTGTGCATAACCAGCGTATGCACCATAAGCATACAAGGTGGGATCATGAGCAGCACCATAAGCATATGCCTCATAACCCTGTCCATATCCATAATAGGCATTCCATTGATTTGGATCCATCTGCGCACCCCAGCCACCGGGTACATCCTAGAATTGTTTAAACAATTTTTTCGTTAGAGCTAATGTAATTACGCATCTAACAAACACTAAAAATGAATCCAAATACCAGCTACCAATAGAGCAGATAAGATAATCTTATATTTATTGTAACAAGATAATCTTTACTGCAGAATTTTATAAATATTTCAGAGTGATGAAAGCACATTAAGGTTTGGTATCCAGTAAAAGAAGGAAAAATTTAAGCCACTATCATTGAATTATACGGAGTCATCTTAACTTCAACTAACATCACTCAGCTTTGAGCTCATGTTCACATTTCTCATTATCTTTCCTTGCCTTCAAGACATAGCATGAAAACCTCCAGATCTTTTTCCTTGGGTGAATGAAAATAGTTAGGGGGAGGAGGGAAATAGCTCCAAACCCGGTCAGGTATGCAATTGTGGTAACCTACTAATGAAATACCTCAAGCTGGATCATAACTTAATTCCTTGTTATTGACATTCTCCAAATCCTACCAGCTGAACTGACCTCCTTAGACATCATAATATCATGATTGCCCAAGTAGAGTATAAACTCTTTTCCAAACATATCTTTAACAATCAAACCACTAAGCTAGGTGAGGTCAACTACATGGATCACACTATACCAAGTGAGCTCATCTAAAGATTAAATTCTCAAGATTATTCCAAGGGATAATAACTCTAAATATAACAAACAAATAAAGGCCATAAAAATCTACACTAGAACTGAGTATGGATGTATTCATGTATGTTACAAACATACAGATTTCGGAAGACTGAATAAGTTGTATAAACTGCAAGGATTTTATAAATTAAAATTAAAATGCATCATGTATGACAAATGTGCCACACAGGCCAGTGTCACCACCATGACAAACCAAACAGTTATTTTTGTCAAAAAGATTAATCATTTCCAAATGCAGAAGCACCTGTCTAGCTGCCAAGGTACTAGCCCAAGAAATTTGGACCACTTGTTGACCTATTATCTTTCCATGCATCCTCTGAATGGCATCTTCAGCAGTCGCTCTACAGACAAAAAACCATGGAAGAGGTTAAAATGCTAATTAATAACAAGATAAAGCAGAAGGAGAAGAAACTAAGATTGATGAAAGACCTCAAGAGATGCAGAGTAACATGACATCAGGCCACATGAAACTTATTGCCTTGGAAATGGGGTAGCAACAGTCAAAATCATATCATTTACCCTTTGAGTTTCGAAATATTAGAGCAACCCCATAAAGATTCACATGTTAAAGTTTAAGGGTAAAAAACAAAACCTAGTTCCAAATTGAACATAACCATATCCTTTGCCCGCATAAATTTTGACCGACACAATATCTCCAAATTGGGTAAAGGTTTGCCTAAGCTCCTCCTCAGTCACATTAAGATCCAAATTACCAATACAAACCTGCAATACAAACAGATGTAAGTAAGAGTACCATAAAATCACACAGAGTAATCCACCATTTTTGTTCCAGCAAGTGTGTAAAGCTATCACGTCAGTCCTTAAAATTAAAGAAATTTCAAATAAGTCCTTGAAATTTCCAGTTGTTTCATCCAAATTCCTAAACTTAACAACTAATTGTTATTTTCATCCTCAAACATATTATAATATTATCATTTATGTTTCACATTATTAGAATTTATGATCAATAATGAGATATATTGATTGCACTTTCAAGGACATGTCTGAAGTTTCCATCTAAAAGCACAATATACTTTCACAGATTAAATGTGCGGTGGACTCATCACAGTGGGTATCCGACTTACAGTGGTATTATTCACATCATTTTCTGGAGCAACAGTATTCACCGGAGCAGTGTATGCAGGAAATTGATAAATTGCTGCAAAGTAATCCATAATTTAGCGATTTTTCTTTTAACTTACACCATTAAAGTAAAAATAAAAAAATTAGCACAATTATGAATGGAACGAAGGGTTGTATACTTGCACTAGTACTCACCTTTAGGTGGAGCATATTGGTGTTGAAAAGAAGCGTTCTTCTTAGGTGTAGCGGCGCTGATACGCATAGGGCGCGTGGAGCAATAAACGCCGTTCATTTCAGTCATGGCGCGGTTCCTCTGCGTCTCGTCGGTGAACTTAACAAAGCCATAGCCCTTGGAGCGGCCGGTGGCGGGGTCGGTGACAACTTTGGCCCCTTTGACAGAAGGATAATGGGTCCGAAAAGTCTCCTGGAGGAGAAAGTCGGTGACGTCGGGGGCGAGATCGCCGACGAAGATGGAGTGGTCGGGCCCAGAGTCCCCGAAGGAGGCCCAATTGAGCCGGAAGGTCTGTTCCGTGCCGGGCATTTGGGTGCCGTTGTAGGTGCGGAGAAAGGCCTCCGCCGCCGCGTGAGAAACGAACTCCACGAAGCCGTAGCCCTCGGGCTGGCCCGTCATCTTGTTGCGAATGATTTTGATGGAAACCACTTCGCCGCTGTGGGCGAAGCACTGCGAGAGATACGACTCATCCACCCAGTACTGCAAATCGCCGATCCAGAGTGTTCGCACTTCCTCTATCGCCATCGACGCCATCTTCCACCGCAGCGCGCCGCCGATTATCCTTCAGCTACCTTCTGTTTTTTTCGTGATGGTCGGAAACTAAGGTTGCTTTTAAATTTAAACTGTGATATGGGCTTGGGTCTGGGCCTGGACCTAGTTATTCGGCCGGGCATTTCATGAGTGTCCTACACCCTATAATTTCTTCCTCCACCCCTATATTATCCAAAATATTCAAAAAGATAATTTTGGATTTTAGAAAGCTTTCTGGAAGTGTTCTAAAAGTTTCTGGAAGCTTTCCAAAAACATTACAGAATTAGCTTTTCATAAATGTTTTGGATTGACTTTTTTTTTAAAGCTTTTTAGAAAAAATTCTACAATAACTTTTTTTGAAAATATTTTGAATTGAACATTTAATAAATTTTTTTGGAAACATTACGAATTAATTTTATAAAAACATTCTAAACTAATCTTTCTATAATCATTTCTATATTTAACTTTTCGGAAAGCTTCTTTTGATACTATCCTTAATTCGACCTCCTGCTCTCCCTTTTGATAACACCACCTCCTCCAACTCCACCGCTTCCTCCTCAAACCCGCATGGCAACCGGGAGGCGGTTACGGGTTTTGCCTCTTTGATCCCCGTCCCCGACTTTTTTAACCATCCCCGTCTCCCGTCCTCGATCCCCGTTGGAGTTAGAAATTAAGTCCTCATCCCCATTCCCGTTGGGTTTCGGTTCTCCGCCTCGCCACGTCTCCGATTTATATTATTTTTAAAAAGATAATTACATTTATAATGAATTAATTTTACTATCTATTTTTTATATATAAATAAATATTTATAATTTATAATTATTATTAATTAAATATACATTTTAATTTATTATATTTATATTAAAATGTGTATGTAAAAGAAATATTTAATCATTTTTTATTTATAATATTATTATTATTATTATTATTATTATTATAACATTGTATTCAAATATTTGAATATTTATAACACTATTATTATAATACTGTATTCAAACATTTGATTATATATATAAGTTAATTCATTTTTAAGTTGTCATTTAAAAATATGAAATATATTGTTTATAAGAAAATATTTAACAAGTTAATTCTTATTCAATTAGTTCGAAGTAATAAAAATTTAAATTATCAATTCCTTTAATCCTTTAAAATGCAATTATTTTATTAAGATAAAATTTGATACATGATAAATAAGAATAATAAGATAAAAAATATGACATAATAAAACCTAATAAATATAAATTATAAATAAAATAATATTAGTTACTACTTTATGTAAAATATTTAGAAAAAGATAAAGAATAAAAAAAATTAACTTTGTGTTCATCAAATTGGTTGAAAAGATTGAAAAAAAAATTGATGGGAGAGATTAAGGAGATGTGAAAAATTGAAAGGTAAGAGAAATAATAATGTAATAAATTAATTGATATAAAAGATTAAAAAAGATAAAAAAAATTAAAAAGTGGGTAGAAGAAAAAAAATTTGGTGAAATATAAAAAAATGACCTTATATGTAAAAAAGAAAAGGAAATACTTTTAGAATATTAATATTTTAAAATTTAAATTTAAATATAAAGTCGGGGCGGGGACGGGGACGGGGTCGGGGTCGGGGTGGTGATTGCATTACCCATCCCCACCCCGCCCCGACTTTTAAAGCGAGGAAAACCCGAACCCGCCCCCATCCCCTGTTAGCTCGGGTTTTCCCCGTCAAACTCGGGGCGGGGACGAATTGGTCCCCACGAGGACGGGTTTAATTGTCATCTCTGTCTAGAGCCACCTCCAACTCCACTACCCCACAATGTCCCTTCCTAAACTCCCACCAACACCACCTCCAACAACTCCTCCTTTACCACCACCAAGCACTATAGGCTCCACCGCCTCCAGCTTCTCCATGAGGAACTACTCATTTTTCTAAATCTAAAACAAATAATTAATTTCAAAATATATGCAATCTAAAGGTTTTTACTAAAAATTGTCAAATATTTATATACCTCTTCATCTTATCTTGAGTATAATTTTTTCATCACACTTTCCCACTTTGGTAAGAGTTTTTATCACATCTCATTATATTAAAGAAGACTTTTTTTTTAATAATTTTGAGTGAAATATTTTTCATTGTATTTCTTTTAAGCTAAATACCTTAAATATACATAATATTGTATCATATCCTTATCAAAGTAGAGCTTCAAATCTCTTACAAATTCTCTTTTGATATAAGAAATCAACCTAAAAACTTCTATAAATCCTCATGATTTATTATAAGAAATCAAAATTAATTAATTCATAGAGATCATAGTCTACACAATTTACACAATTTGTCAATCACAATTTAAATTTTACTTGCAATATTTATAATACTTTGTTTCAAATTGGTGTATGAAGATTTTAAATGTATGGAATTCTTAGTTATGTGTAAAACAACTTGATTATCATTACCAAACTAAATATTAAAAAGAATTATTATTGGCAAGATTCAAATACAATACCTTAGAATTGGAGACTAATACTCCAACCACTAAATTACTAGAATTTTTTGATAATAACTTACAAATAAATTATATTTATATACAAATAAATATATATCCATGTAAATATATAACAAATATATAAATACAAATATATTTATATATTTTGATATATTTATATAGTTATATATTCATATATTTATATGTTGGATGTGAGGACACGCTCGAAGGTGAAAGTGTGTCGAGTGGGTTTTCAAAATTTGATGTCAAATTTGTGAGCGAGTATCTTTATATGAGTTTGTAATTTAGTGACAAAATATAATCTTTATAATTTATTTATATAATGATATAAAATAAATTTGGGAAATGTGTCATTCGCTCAAGCAACACATTCGCTCAAGCGAAAAATACCAATTTTCACTCAAGCGAGATATTTTCGCTTGAGCGAGTGAATTTCTATGAGCTTTAACGTAATTTCGCTCAAGTGAGAGTCAATCTCACTTTCATCCTGGAGTGCGCCCTCACATCCAACATATAAATATATAAATATATCAAAATATATAAATATCTTTGTATTGATATATTTTATATTTATATATTTACATGGATATATCTTTATTTATATATAAATATAACTTATTTGTAAGTTATTCTTAAAAAATTCCAGTAGTTTAGTGGTTATTAGTCTCCAACTCTAAGGTATTGGGGTCAAATCCTATCAATGATCTAGTCACCTCTATTTCTAAGAAATATTTTGATTTTTCCAAATAGACATTACTATTTCTAAGAAATATTTTTTATTTTTCCAAATATACATTTGTTCAAGTAATCTTTGAGCCATTAGATAATTTCATTATTGTTGTCACATATGGTTAGATCATCAACATAAACTAAGACATTAAGTTGTACTAAACCGTTTTGTAAAGTAAATAATGAATAATTAGAAAGAGATTGTTTGAATCTATATTATTTCAAGGATCGATCAATTTGGAATAAATTGACCAATCAAACGTCTATATTGAATAAGATTAGAAATAAGTTTTCCTTTAGCAAGACCAAGCATAGGTTTTGCTCCAAGTAGTCCAGCCTCACTAATTATGTGTAAAACATATTTTATTTGACATAAGAAAATGCTAACAACTGATCTAGTCACCTCTATTCCTAAGAAATATTTTGATTTTCCCAAATCGTTCATTTGAAAACATTTGTTCAAGTAATCTTTGAACCATTAGATAATTTCATTATTGTTTTCACATATGGTTAGATCATCAACATAAACTAAGACATTAAGTTGCACTAAACCATTTTTTAAAGTAAATAATGAATAATTAGTGTTAGATATTGTTTATATATTATTTGATATTGTTAAGATATTGTTAGATATTGGTAACCACAATATCAAACAATATCTTCTGTTTATTCTGTTACTTTCAGTTACTCTTTTAGTTGTATCTCTCTACTATAAATAGACCTCCCTATATGTGATTTATACACAGGGAAAATTAATTCCAAACCCTATTTTTCTCTATATTCAACATGGTATCTAGAGCTTAAGGTCATCTTGAATTTTTTTTTTTTGCCTTTTATCCACTGTTGGAGCCGCCCCACCGCTGCTGGTAAACTGATCCTCCACATTAGAAAAGAATTATCTTTGTTACTGAATTTTATTTGGTAGTGTGAAAGTGCATGTTTAGGAAAGTTCTGGCAAGGAAAGACTTGGTATTTAAGTGTTTCCATTAGTGACCCACTTCTCTTTCCTAGGAACTTACCTGGTGTACTAGTTCACGTTGCTGTCACCGCTGCCACTGGAGCAGTCACCGGATCTGCCGCTATCGGAGAATTCGCCGGAGTTTCATTTTTTTTACCGGTGACATATGATTTTGCTTGTCTTGGTCAGGTGACCACCGTGCCATTGAGATCACCACTATCGGAGTTGGTCGTCCTATTATCTCCTGCGCCGTTTAGTCTTGGCGAACTTATTTTTAGTATTCTCATTTTGGATTTGTGCTTCGTGGGTTAATTGGATTACTTTGGATTGTTTTAGGGTTTGTTCTCCTGCTCTTCATGACTTCTTCCACTATTTCCAATTTTGTTAATGATTCTTTTGTGTTGACATCCCATTGTGATGACCGGGCTCGCCCTCGCAAACAGGAAAAAGGCGTCCTAAGTGTGAACATTGTGGCAAGCTAGGTCACAAGATTAACAAGTGTTATACATTACATGGTCGTCCTCCTCAATCTGCTGTAGTTGTTCACACCAATCTTTTCCCACCTTTATCTGTAGGGGATCTTCCTTCTTCTATTGCATCTGACATGCCTGCTATGTTCAACAAATTTCTCAAATGGTATGAGGATCAACAGTCTTCTAGTTCCACTATATCTGTCACACATACAAATACATATTTTGTTGGTCTGACCCAATCATTTTCTCCTGGTCCTTGAGTTTTTGATTCGGGAGCCACTGATCATATTACTAGTAACAAATCTTTGTTCTCCTCTTTATCATCTCCTAATCATTTACCTTCTGTTACACTGGCTGA